TTTATACTCCCCCGCCAAGGCCTTACAGAATCCATCCGCATAACTGTGGGACGCCGAGCCGAGCTTCGCGAAGAAATCTGCCCATAGGTTTCCCGCCCAGTGCTCGAGGGAGACCCCTCGTTCGACGGCATCGTCGAGTGACAAATGGGCGGGGCGCCAAACAAACTGGGGGGGATCGTGCTGCTGGTTCCTGAAAATGTTAGCCCATATTGCGGCATGCTTCGACAGTCCAGCAGCTTGCTCGGGGTTCCAAGCATTGCCCTCTCTGACGCTGGCTTGCAGATCGGACACAATTCGTTCCAAGGCAGGAGCGAAATACAATGCCTGGCGAATCGCCCACCGTTCGGCACGGCCGATGGTCTGGCGCACGCCAGGAAGGGCGCCGAACGCGGCGCGAACTGGAATTAAATCTTGATATAATTGGACAACCGCCCAATCAGCTCGAGAGACTTCGGGGATGCTCGACTGAAGGCAGCTCCCGTCAACGAAACTGGTTGGCCCCCATGGGCCTAAAAAGTTCCCCCACATTTGGACCTCTGGGCTGGTCTCTGGAGGCTCAAGAGGAACCGAGAGGGAGGGGGCCCCATAGGTGAGGTAGGTGGTTTCAGCCTGTGGGTTCCCTAAAATATCTAAACAAGAGTTAATTAGCGCTTCCCTATGGCTCAGAATCTTGTCGGGGACCGTCTCGCCTAACGCGTCTACGCCGTCCAAGACCAAGCCGGCACAGCCATGCCATATGTGACCATATGATCCCAAGGGGGCCTGACAGACACGACATTCAGGAGCGATTGGATAGCCCTGAGAAGCACGAACGCCAGGAAGGGGAACCACATCAGCCATGACCGCCGAAAGCGCTCCGAGTTGACGAGGGCATCGAATGGCCTGAAGACCTCCCCATCAACGCCCTGTGCCGCACAATCTCGTCACCGTGTGATGTGTGCATGTGGTGTAGCAGCCTACGATGTTGCCACCTCTGTATGCCCTCAATCATGGAGAGCTTGACGTCGCACGGGCAAGTAGCGAGCAGGTTAATCGTGACCTTGGTGTCCGAGACGAACGTGTGCGCACTGGACATAGCCCATCCGATACGATGAAGTGAAAGCCAGCAGGCCGACATGGGCCCCTTCGCGATCTGCCACGTCGGGTTGTCGTCCACGTATGTGCTCAGCATTGCCCAGGCCCGTTGGGCCCTCCCAAGACAGACACGTCGATCCCAGATCCAGGCCGCGTAGCGGAGGCATATACCGATCGTGCAATCATATATGGGGTCGTAGTAGGGGTCACGGTGAGCCAGAAGGTAAGCCGTGACTCCACCATGCCGTTTACCACCGGCGAGGGTCGAGGCCATCTGTCTGAAATAACGCAGCGATACATCCGAGACTCCAGAGACCCCACCTCCACGCCCAGCAGCTGGGAGCGCCCCCGTTCGGAACAGGAGCGAGACGTTGCGCCCAACGGCGCTGCGCAGCGCCATGAACTTGCGTCGGCGCTGCTTGAGGGACTTGAGGCGAGCCTTCTCCTGGAGCCGCAACACTTTGCCGCCAGCCACCTCATGTCCCAGATTTCTCATCCAGGGCCGAAGCTGCAACTTAAGCTGGGCCGCTCCTTGGCGAAATAGACGTTTGGCCTTGCCTGAGGCCGCCACGATGCCTGACTTTTTGGGCTGAGTATGCAGTCCCAGACCCTGGGCGTCGAACCTGAAGATCCGCACGGCCTTCTCTAGCTGCGGCAAGGTGTCAGGCGAAGTGGCGACCAGCTGCAGCGAGAAATCGTCGACGAGCGCTCGCGGCGCCACGCAAGGAGCAATCTGATTGAGACGCTTGAGCGCCCGAAGCGTGAGGACGAACAGCATGCCTGTAGCATGACTGCATCCAGCAAGGATGCCTTGAAAAGCCTCGAGGGACCCGGAGAGACTTCCGAATTCCATAAGACGCCGTGGTTGCCTGTGCAACTCCACAAGCATCCACGCAAAGGCGAGGGGGGTATCCGACGGCCTCAGCTTCTTTGATTAGCTGAGCTGGGTGAACCAGTTCGAAACACTTGATCATATCAATTAAAACTGAAATCGAGATTTCGCCGGGCACGGTGGCAAGCTCCGCGGACAAATTATGCGCGAAAGCGCTATCCGTGGAGCTATGCCGCTTCCTGGTGCCCCAGATCTCGAGACAACCATGCAACTCTTGCCAGCTACAGGTGACTGGCTTCCTGAGTTCCCCCAGACTCGGCACAGGGTGTTGATGAGAGCAATTGGGCGGACTCCCCCCTCAAGCTTGGCCAAACGCACCATTTCCGTCCAAACACGCTCGTTGGGCCAAGCTAGTTGGGCCTCGCATCCGCTGAACAGAAAGGCGATGCCATCATAGGCACCTCTACTTAAATGCAGCAAGGCCCGCGGGGCTATACGCGAGGGGCCGGCTGCCGTGTTCATCTTAAAATGTTGGATGCAATCTTCCACCTCCTAGGCAGCGATGCAAGGGGGCGAGGGCCAGGCGTGGGCCCCATCGGGGAGCGGAAGCTTGGAGCAGTCGTGGGTCATCCAGATGTCGGCCCATGGCCGCATCTCCTGGTCAGACAGCTGAAAGGGTTGCGACTTGGAACCAGCAGCGACGACCTCTTGAACAGCTCGCACCTTGCTGAACCTATGGGCCTGAGACGCTCCTCTCTGAAAAGCTTCTCGGGCCCAGGACAGCCAAGCTGAGCTCGCGGCGGCTTCGGCGACCCCAATTTTGGCCTTGGCGGTGAGATACACATGCGCGAGGCATTCAGCAAAGTCGGGTCTGGCCAGGACGGCGAAACCAGACCTGAAAAATCGGAAGTGCGATCATCCAACCTCGTGAGCACTTTTTTTGCACGCTCCAATCTGTATCGTGAAATTTGAAACCTCGTCGAGTGCACGCAACAGCTTGACTTGCTGGTTAGGAGTGAGATCGCACATGACAGCACACCCCTGGAGGCCCTCCACCTCCTTGGCCAGAAACTGCCTGAATTTGCCGAGGTGCTTCGCCCATCGTAGAGCTGTGGCCCAAGCCTTGGTGCTCGGGTCCTTGTAGGCGCGGGTCTTAGGGGGGGGGGGCCCACGTGAGTTTCTTCCACTTGGTTTTGGGCGGGCCCGCTCTCCCCAAAAAGGCAGCACTGCAAGCGCCAATTCGGTCCCACCTGGAGGACAACTCAAACTCGATGCCAGAAGCGACCAGGTCCCAGAGCCCCGCGAGGTCCCCTCGGTCCAAAAGATGAGGGCCCGCCACATCCAGCACGGCCTTCCAAGGGTACACAGGGGGCCTCGCGCATCCAACTGGAGGCACAGCAGGGAGAAAAGGCTTGGGCTCATCTGGGACCCTGGCCCACATCGGAGTGTCGACGGAGGCGAAGCCAATGGAGATAGGGAGGCGAGGAAAGGTGGAGGCTTCCTCATCCACTTGCACCTGCCTCCGCAAGCGCGTGGGCAGCGAACTGCTGGCGACGAAAAAATCAATAAAAGAGCCAGGCAGAGACTTCTTGCACGAGAGCACAGCTGAAACGTAGCCGATCGCGCTCACAGCCTCCAGCCAAATTGACTGGTTGAGCTCGTCGATCTCCATGTTCCAGTCCGCGCAGGTGGCCCAGCCGACCTGCGGCGCGTTGAGGACGCACAAGTATTGGACTATGGTCCAGATGTATGCGCTGTTGGCAGCACCGAAGCCCTCGCCGTCCTTGAGGTACGCCGAGATACAACTCCACCCGGCGTGCCCCATTGAACGTGGCACGCGACGGCGCGCCCTGGAATCAAGATGTTGCTGTCAATCTGCGGCGGCGCCGTGGCTGTGATGCACGATGGTACCAATACTGCAACACCACCTGTTGTGCCAGCGCCGCTGTCACTGACGACGGCTGGCGCCCACAATCCCTTCCAGCCAGCGTCAAGCATCGCGTGCTGCTTGTCGGCCAGGTGCTCCTGGTCGACGTGCGTCTCTTGCACAGCAAGAACCGAGCAAGTGGCGTCCACCGCATAGTCCAGGATAAGGCCGAACGAGCTTCCATTCAGCGAGACAATGCCGGGTTCATGCTTCCGAGTTTTCGAGTGAGATGCAGCAAATGGTTTGGGCGAGGCGGCGCCCAAAGCGCCGCGCGTAGCCGAGGTCGAGGAGGCGCTCGCAGGCATCCCTCCAGCCGACCCCTGGCCCAGAGAACTCGCACGGCGGTCCTGGCCCACTGCCGTAGCAGAACACCAGCCTACCGAGGGTTCACACACTTGGCGGGGGGCAGCCTTCGCAGGGAACCCGCAGCCAGTAGAAGTCGAAAGAGGAAGCCGAAGTAGACGAACTGCCTGTCGCAGCAGGCGCAGCCGACGACGCACGCGTAGGCACATCACCAGCAAACTGTAAGGCAGCCTCATGTTGTTCCGATAGAAAGGGACCAACATCATCGATCTGCTCGAAAAGACCGACGTCAGAGCCGTCCATGTTGATAGTGTGACCAGCCATCATGATGATACCAAGTAAGATGGAACAAAAAAGTGAGCACGACCTTGCGCGATCACGCTGTGGCCTTGAGCTTCTTGGCGAGGCTCTGGGCGCTGGACAAATGCCGCTTGAGCTGATCTCGCAGAGCAGGTGTGTCATCCTCAGATTCAATGTCACCAGGCGCTGGGACGTCGACTCCACACTCTTTGAGATGCTCACGACAAGTTGTGGCGTCCATCTCATCAATGTGCTTGGAGGTGGCCTCGTTGTCGTCCACGTCCATGTGGCTGGCCTCGGCCTTGTCCCTTGGCGGCTCCTGAGCAGGTGCCGCAGGTCTCGCAGCCTCCGAAGGCGGTGCCGTTGCCGACGGCTCCTGCTCCAGCCTGGTGACCATTTCCGCCATGGCCTGCATGCCAGCAGTGAGGCGCTCAGAGCCACCAAGAGACTGCAGGACGGTGCCCAGCTGCGAGACATTCGCTTTGAGTCCTGGAATGGCCGTGCTGAGCGTAGGGGGCTTGCCTTCGCCCCCTGCAGGAAGACCTCGGGCCACGATCTCACGCAACTCGCTCTCAAGGGTGGGCAGATTGGCGGCCGCCTCCGCGTCGGCAGCCTCTGCTTTGACCAAGGCCTCCTTGGCCTTCTCGACGGCCTCCTTGGCAGCCAGCACCTTTGTGGCACAGTTCGTTTTCTTCTTCCGAGCTTCCGTGACCTTCCGATTCTGGGCGCTGACGTTGGTCTCGAGGGGCTTCTCGGACTGCAGCAACTCCTGAATGTAAGTGCGTTCAGCGACGAGCCTGTCACGATACTCAGCGTCCGAAACACCCAGGGACTTGAGAATGTTGCCAATCTCTGCCAAGCGCGCGCGCCGATCTGCCTGAGGATTGACGTCCTGCGTGGCCCAAGGTGGTGTCGAAGGAGACGGCTGAGTAGCTCCTCCTGGCTGCTGCCGTATCTGCTGCATCTGGCGGGTGAGGTCAACGACCTGTTTGGCCAGAGCTGCCTCGCGCTGGGACTGGATGGCTGGGGCGCGAGCACCACTTATGATCTGCACGATTGATCCAGCTTATACCCGTGGGCTTGTGCACACACCACTTGCACAGCCACGGCTGCGCGTTCTCGACGCGCTGCTTGGGTCCCATTGCGCACAGCACAGCAGAAGGAGGACTGACCACCGACCAGCGCACAGCCTAGTCGTGGTGAACGCTGCGATGCGTGGGGCGGACCACGCACCGCTCAGCCTGGGGCGGACCAGGCGACAGTTGAAAGCTGGCCGCGGACTAGCGGTATCCACTTTGTTCCCAGGGGAAACCAAAACCTTGAGCCAAAATGGCTACGGACGAGGAGGAGGAGGAGGAGGAGGAGGAGGTAAATGACGAAGCGTCTGAGGAGGAGGAGGGGGAGGAGACGGAGGAGGAGGAGGATAAGCAGGAGCAGGAGCAAGAGGACTGGGGGATTCGGGGTCGATGCGTCCCACTTTGAGCCTATTCCCCCTCAGACCGTTGCCCCGTGGTTTTCGGGCCATACTTCCGCAGGACGAAAGATTCCCCTCTTGAGGCGCCAGCGGTGATAGGTGGTTGGCGAAATTTCGTCGTCGCCGCCAAACGAGCGGCGTCTAACAACTTGCTTGGAGCAACTGGGAGGCGAGGAGAGATGTATTCATGGTGGGTGCGACCCGTGTTCGGTGAGGACTGATAGGGTCCATGAGACAGAGCGAGACCTGCTTGCGGCAATTCGTAACCAGCCACTTCATGTTGGGTGCGACCCATGTGGACCCATGTGCGGTGAGGACTGATGGGATCCCTGAGACAACGCGCGTCATGGCTGCGGCAATGTGTAACCAGCCCACCCTCACCAAATCGTCTCAACAGCGGCGGACCTGGGTGCCGCGGATCCGATCTCTCTTGGTCCCCCCGCTTTCATTCGGCGGTGGACAAGCCTCACTTTAATAAACCACCCTTGAATGAAAACGGCCTGGGACCGAAACCGACGGACCTGGACCCGCAAACATGACGGCCGCGACATCCTCTCGCGAACCGAACACGGCCAATTCGCTAATCGACGTGTCAGGGCAGGAGGTCTATCAACCTCCGATTCATCAAATTGTTGAATTTCAAACAGGTTATGAACGGTGTATTTAAATTGCAAACGAACCATATCCACGACACGGACCGCGCAGACGGAAATCGGATACACCGCAACAAAAATCCAAACCAATTTCGGATCCGCACCGCTTGAATTGGATCCTCCAAGGATTCTCTCGTGCGCGCCGGCGCAAGAGATGAAACCAAAATGTCGGGTCGGGGAACTAACTTCCGCCCTGGGAATGTCACTCAGCTCTCCGGCGGCCGTCCGGGGACGATCCGGGAACCTCCAGAACTCTCAGCGAGGCACAGCTGCTGGAACGCACCCCGAGGCTGGAAAACCCCCGAGAATCCATAAAAACGGTCGACTCGAAGCCTTCCCCCCCTAACATTGCCCCTGAACTCGAGGAGCAGGAGGGGAAGGAGGGAGAGGAGGGAGAAAGAGGAGGGGAAGAGAGGAGGAGGAGGAGGAGGAGGAGGAGGAGGAGGAGGAGGAGAAGGAGGAGGAGGGAGGAGGAGGGTGCAGGAGGAACAGGACGAGGGTGCAGGAGGAGGAGGAGGGTGCAGGAGGAGGGGGTGCAGGAGGAGGAGGAGGAGGAGGAGGAGGAGGAGGAGGAGGAGGAGGAGGAGGAGGAAGACGAGGGTGCAGGAGGAGGAGGAGGAGGCTGAGGACGGAGATGGCCGGAGGCACAGCACGCGCAGGAGCGACAGTACGTAACCATAGGGCCGCCGATGCCGCCGATACCCCCTCAGGGAGCCCCCATTTGGAGGGGTTCCCTGGGGGGGCGTCGGCTGTGTTGGCGACCTTTTCCCTTCCCTTTCCCGCTCTCCTCCGTCGTGCCTGCTGCTCCCCCTGGCTCCTCCTCCCCTCCCTCGCTCCTCCTCCTCCCCTCCCTGCCCTTCTTCCTTCCCATCCTGCTGGTCTTCCTCGTGTCGCCCTTCCGTCGGTCTCCCTCTCCTCAGGGACTTTGGCTGTTGTGCGCCCCATGTTTGCAGCTCCCGCCGCCCCCCGAGCGATGCGGTGCTGCTTGGGAGAGGGGCGGGAGCGAGGGCTTCAGTCGTTCGGGAATGGCAGAGGAGGGGAAATATCATCTTGGAATCGGCGATACATCGCCGATAGATCGGCAACAGGCTCAAGTAGTGAATCTGCACGTTCCTGGGCAGGGCCGGGGCTATCGGGCCCCTTGTCATCGGCGATCAAGGGGCGATTGGGGGTCGATGCGTCTTCCCTATGCATGTCCCCCCACCATCGCCACTGACTGAGGAGGGAAGAGCAGGAGATGGATTGCCGGCGCCGCCCCGCCCGAGGCGCGGGGCAGCGGGGACCCGCGCTCCTCGGGTCCTCGCACAGCTTCCGCAGGCAGTCCAGGACGTTCTGGGCGCGACGCCAACCCCCGCCGGCGCCATGCTCCTCCTCCTCCTCCTCCTCCTCCTCCTCCTCCTCCTCCTCCTCCCACTCCTCCCCCTCCTCCCCCTCCTCCCCCTCCGCCTCCTCCATCCGTCTCCGCCCTCTTCCCTCCTCTGTCCCTCCTCCGCACCCTCCTCCCTCTCCTCTATCCTCTTGCTCCCCTCTCTTCTGTCCATCCCTTTCCCTTCCTCCTTCCTCCTCTTCCCTCCTCGCCCTCCTCACTCCAACTCACTCCTCGTCGCTCACCCTCTTCGCTCCTCCTGCCCCCTCCCTCCTCCCTCCTCCCTTTCCTCTCCTCCCTCCCTCCCTCGCCCCCCCGTGTCCCTCCCTCCCTCTGCTGAATCCGCGACCCAAGCACGAGTCCGTCTTTCGGACTAGTGGCCACCTGGGTCAGGCGTATCGGCCGCCAGTCCCACCCACTCTACCGGGTGTGTACCCATCCAGGGGGTGTGCCCAGGCCCCCCCCCCCCCTCCCCCCCTCCCCCCCCCTCCCTCCCTCCCCCCCCTCCCACCACAATTACTCAATAGGAATACTACTCTCCTCCCTCCCCTGATGACGGTTTGGGAGTGTTCGCCCCCCCCCCTTGCGTACGGTTTTTTTACACACAGGATTCCCCGGAGTTGGGTTTTCGCCTGCAATGTTTCCAACATGCTGCTCTCGCTGAGGCGCCGGCCTCATTTTCGGGCCCCGCTCGTTCCGAATCGTGCTCCTGCTGCAGCGTTGGCCTCATTTCCGTGTTTCCGCTCGTTCCGAATCGTGCTCCCGCTGCAGCGCTGGCGTCCTTTCCCATGCCATGCCACGGCATGCAATGCAATGCTAGGTTGCGTTCCGCTGCGCGATGCCATGCCTTCAGCTGAAGCTGTGATATGCAGTGCTTAAGTGCCACGTCGTGCTGTGCCATGCTACGCTTTGATCTTCAACGCCATGCTATGCAATGTTATGTTCGGGGCCGCTGTGCGATGCCATGCTTTGCGTTGCAAAGCTTTGTGATGCAATTCTTCACTACGCCACGCCACGCCATGCTGTGACATACTACGCTTTGCGGTGCTCTTCTACGCCATGCCATGCCGTGCTCTACAATGCATCGCGTACCCTTTCGGGATCATTGCCCTGCTCGACATCCGACTGTGCGAGTAGAGAGGGGATCTACGCCATGGTAAGGGATGGGAGGGAGGGGTAGGATGTCAGATATGACGCGAGCGCACCTAGCTTGCCCTCCCCCCCCTCCCCTCCCTCCCCCCCCTCCCTCCCCTCCCCCTCGTCTCACTGTTCCCCCGCCGGCTGCCGGCCAGCGCGGACTGCCGCCCCCTTTGCCGCCGCGGAGCGCCGTCTGCGACCGAGCCCCTAGCCGCCGCCCTCGCCCGCGCCCCAGGCCGGGAGCGCCGTCGCGATCGAGCTCCCACTGCTTTGAGGCAGCTGGGAAGCCCCCCGGAGACCCCCCCCTCGAGAATTGGCGGCGAGCGAGAGGGGGAAGTGAGAAGGAGAAGGCCTCCTCAGAAGGCGGTGGGACTTCTCAGAAGCCCTCGCGCCCTCATGTGCGGGACTTCTCAGAGTTTCATGTGTCTTCGGTGAAGGCTCAGGAAACTTCTCAAAAGGCCGGGGGACTTCCGAGCCTTCTGAGAAGACCCGCCCCTTCTCACTTCCCCCCCCTCGCTCGCCACCGGAGAGGAGGAAGGAGGACGAGAACGAGGAGGAGGGGGGGACCAGTGTAAACCGATGACTAATCAACGACAGTGCAACAATAGACCCTCCCTCGAAGTTCCCTTCTTCACCAGCCTGACAAGGATCCATACTCTCACTGAAGGAAATGCCCCGGTAGAAAAAAGCAGCTTGAAAATCCTGACCTGTGCCAGAGCACTTTTGACGTCGCAGCGCGGCATAAGCAGTACGCACGCGCGCTCGGGCAAGCTGGGTGACAGCATTGCGAATTGCCTGGATGCAGGAGGGGAAGGACAGGGAAGAAAGGAACGGCCGCGGGAGGAGGGGAAGGAACCACTGCGTTCACGCAGCGGGGGCTGCAGCGGGTACGGGGCGGCGTCGCGACAACACCCAGGGACCAAGGCAGCGGCTGGAGTGCGGGAGGTCGACGACCGGCAAGCGGAAGAGGTGGGCGCGAGGGCCAGCGGCAGCGGAGCCGAAGAACGCAGAGGAGGACGGGGCGGGGGCAGGCTGCAGGACGCGGTGAGCGGGTGAGCTGAGAGCACTGGCCGCACACCGACGGGAGGCGGCGCTGTCGGCGGCGGGGGCGCAACGCGCGTCCGCCAGGTAAGCCGGGGCTGCGGAACCGGGGCTGCGGAACCGGCAGCCCGAAGCAGGCAACAAAGGGCGGGGGGCAAAGCGGCCGCGAGGCCCGGGCGGCAGCGCGGGGGCCGGACCAGCAGCGGGGGGGCACTCGCAGAGCCGCTGGGGAAGCGTGCCAGAGCACAATTCCTGGGACTTCAGCGCCACGAGTCACCGTTTCTGTGGCGCCTTGACGATCCCGAATCGTGCCGGAGCACCGTCCCTGGGACTTCAGCACCGCGAGTCTCAACGTATACCTGTGGCGCCCTGACAATCCGGCCTCGTGCCAAAACACTTTTCCATGAGAATCCTTGAAGCTACTGAAAGCCTTAGAACGAATGTGCGCGGCGCTAACTCGAGTCACATTCTGAAACAGAACCACCCTCCATCCGTGAAGCTCCTCCACATGCCTCAAACACATGTGCGCGGCGGTACGGCGATAACCACATTTTGAATACGGTCTGCCCTCCACCCGTGAAGCTCTTGCATTGTCTCAGAACGGATGTGCGCTAGGGCGAGAAGCACGCTCCACATTTTGAGAGCGGCCAGCCCTGCATCCGTGAAGCTGTAAGAAAAAACGAAGGAGCGCAGCGCTAAGGCGAGAGCCACGTTTTGAAAGCGGTCCAACCTCCATCCGTGCAACTGCTGCAAAGTTTAAGCTCCTGGGTCATAAGCGGTGGGAAAGTCTCAGGCACAGCGCCTGGCTGGCCCTTTCGACCAGCCTCGGGGCGTTATAGGGAGGAGCTATTAGTAAGGAAAGGGAACGGAGGAGGAGAAGGGGTGGAGGAGGAAGGAGGAAGTGAGGGAGGGAGGGCGGGCGGGAGGAAGGGAGGAGGAAGAGGAGCAGTTGAAACCCAAGACTCATCAACGATGTGGTAAAACACCCTCCCTCCAAGCTCCTTCTGGATATGCCCCTACAAGGGTTCATGTCCACTGAGGGAACTGCCTCGTTGGGAGACAACCGTTTGAAGACCCTGAAGCCTGCCAAAACACCATTATCGGGACTCCAACGCCACGAATAAACATGACTGTTGCGTCTTGACGATCCTGACTCGTGCCAGGACACCACGCCTGGGACTTCAACACAACGAATCAACGCAACTGTTACGCCCTCACAATCCTGAATCTTTCCCAAACACTATTTTTGTCACGTTGACCATGGGAATCCGTGAAACCCTTACAAATGCTTGAAACGAATATGCGCGGCGCTACTTCAAGAACCACATTTTGAAAAGAAACAACCCTCAATCCGTGAAACTCTTCCAATTGTTTAGGACGAGTGTACGCGGCGCTGAGGCGAGAACCACATTCTGAAAACGACCTGCCCTCAATCCGTGAAACTCTTACAAATCCTTAGAACGAATGCGCGCGGCGCCAAAGCGAGAACCACAATGTGAGAACCTCCCGCCCTCAATCCGTGAACTGTTGCACAGACTCTAAGCTTCAGAGGCACGGATAGTGGGGAAGTCTTGGGCGGAACGCCTGGCCCGCCCTTTCGGCCGGCTTCTGGATGCGACAGGGGGGAGTTATCTATAAGGAAAAGGAACGGAGGAGGAGTAGGAGTAGGAGTAGGAGTATGAGTATGAGTAGGAGGAGGAGGAGGAGGAGAGGAGGAGGAGGAGGAGGAGGAGGAGGAGGAGGGGGGGGATGAGGGGGGAGGGGAGGAGGAGGACGGGGGGGAGGGAGACGGGGTGGGAGGAGGAGGGAGGGAGGGAAACAGGGAAGGAGGAGAGAGGAGGGAGGAGGGAGGAGGGAGGAGGAGGAGGAGGAGGAGGAGGAGGAGGAGGAGGAGGAGGAGGAGGAGGAGGAAGAGGTGAAGGGAGGAGGATGAGGAGGATGAGGAGGAAGAGGAGGAGGAGGAGGAGGACGAGGAGGAGGAGGTGGAGGGAGGAGGGAGAAGGGAAGAGAAGGAGGAGGGATCCCCGAACGCCCACCTGTGACTGAATTGGGGATTTCCTCCCGTCCAGAAGCTGCCCCTCGTCGCACATTGGTCAAGTCGCTTGCGGTGTCCGAATCGGTCAGGTCGCACACCCCGCGGGAGACAGCCATTCCTCCCCCCAGGTTGCGAAAACCTTCAAACGCATGCTCCGACCTCCACTCTTAAGTGTTACTCCTCTACCCTAGACTGAGCATCGTTTGGCCGATCCCCTGTCCCCACTGGGGTGGCCTGGGCCCCACTGACCGATTCACCCTCCTAGATGGGGATATGACATAGGCTGTTTCCTTCGGGTTTTGATGGGCTTATCCCCGAATGGGGTGGTGGGATGGTGGGCAATGGTGGGGCTAAGATAGCATGGCTCGGTGGGGATGGAGATAGTCGGAGCAGGGCCAGTTGAGACAACGGCAGCTCAAAATCGATCCTGGGACCCCTCCCGGGGTCCAAGCGTACCAGTTCTCCGAGCTGCGTCCAGCCGTGGCGACGAGGGGAGCCCCCGAAGGCCAGCTACCGCTGGCTCAGCTCGTCCTCCTCTGATATTGGTTGACCGCTACCCTCAGACGGGTTCAACCTCTGGTCTGGGAAAGGTTGGGAGCGTCCCGGCGGGTCCCCACCCTCGCTCTCGGCGACTCCGAAGGGTGTGGTTTGCCAAAGGCGTGGTTTGCAACTGGCACCCTGGGGGGGCACCCTGGGGTGCGGGCGAGAACCTCGCCACGGCTCTCCGCCGCGCCCCGAAGAGGTCTGACGAGGGCAGCGTCGTGCTACCCAGGCCCCAACCACACACTGGCGTAACCCCTCCTCCTCCTCCTCCTCCTCCTCCTCCTCCTCATCCTCCTCCTCCTCCTCCTCCTCCTCCTCTTTCTGCTCCTCCTCCTCTTTCTGCTCCTCCTCCTCCTCCTCCTCCTCCTCCTCCTCCTCCTCCTCCTTCTCCTCCTCCCTCCCCCCTCCTTCCTCCTCCTCGGCCGTGGCGGCCGCCGACGCTGCCGTCGGCTGCCGCCGCCAGAAGCCCGCCCGACAGAGTCGAACTGGTCCGGCGAGGCGACGGGCGGCCCCCCCGGGCTGCCTTGTCGGGGCCCGTGCCCCGGCTGTCGAGGTCCGAGATGGCGCCCCACTGGCGGCTCTCGTTGCGCTTGTCGTTCGACAGCGTGCCCTGGTCGGGGGGGAGGCCCAGGGCCACGGCCAGCGTGTCTCACCGCCAGGAACGCGGAACAAGGGGGGCCAGGGGCTTGTCTGGCCACGGCGAGCCGGCCGCGAGCAGGCTCCTCGGCCCAGATCAGCAGAACGGCCGCGGAAGGCGGAGCCCCTGCTGGCCCCGAGGAAGGCTTCCGGCCGGCGCCCTGACTGTAGAACGGTGGCCTGCCCGCGAAGAGGCAGGTCCAGGGGAGGTCTTCTGTGGAGGGGGCGAGGAACGAGGGGGGAACTGAGCGGGGAATGCCCTGGGAAGAGGGAGGGCGAGGGGGGGGGGACAAGAAGGTGCGCTCGCGTCATATCTGACGTCCTACCCTTCTCCCATCCCTTATCACGGCGTAGATCTCCTCTCCATTCGCACAATCGGATATCGTATAAGGGCATGACATTCCATGGTCTAGCACGGTGTACTCGTAGCATGACATAGCATGGCGTGGCGACGCCCCAAGTGGGTGGGAGCTTATGCGGCCCGAAAAATCAACGAATCGACACCGAATGTACAATCTCGGGGGCAATTTTCTAAATTTTGGGGCCTATGTGGAAGGAGCGAAAATCAATCCGTGACATGGCGCTGGAAATCATGACGCCAGCGCTGCAGCGGGGCCACGATTCGGAACCAGCGGAAGCGCGGAAATGAGGTCAGCGCTGCAGCGGGAGCACGTTTCGGAGGACGCGTAGCCTGACATAGCATGGCGTGCTATTTGGAAGGACCGAAAACCATGCCGCGGCATGGCGCTGGAAATAACGACGCCAGCGCTGCAGCGGGAACGCTGTGGAATGCACGGGGGTAACTGCATGGAACACAGAGCGACACGAAGTACTAGTAGGGGGAACCGTGCTATAAGAGAGCGCGTTCTCTTTACTTTTGCTGGGGCCAGGGCGCGCCCGTCACCTGCGCGCCAGGTGACAAGGGCCCTTGCGTGCCACAACGGCGGCACACAAGGGAGTACAGAGAGAGGCGCAAGAGGAGGAGAGGCTGACATGGGTATGACAACAACAACTTCTACCTTTCTCGCAACCGAAACGCCGCCGCGCCTCAGTTCGTGAACTTCCGTTAATAATGCCCGAAAAATCGTAGCCATTCAGATCCCGTAGCCATCTCATGTAGCCCCAAAGCGTCTGCGACGCATAGTCGGTACGTCTACACGAACACGTAGGCCTTGAGGACGTCTCTCGAAGAGCTCCACGAATGGATTGTCCGATCCTGGCTCCATCGCCCATGAAGGTCTGCGGCTCGATTCCGCGGGGGTCGAACTGGTAGCCAGTTCGCTCCAGGTAGCGGACTGCTGCGCTGAGCCTTTTGGTCCGTTGAGGAACCCATGTCTCGTGCTTGGGGATCAGTTTGGCCCCAGGAATCGCCAGGTCGGAGTCCTCGATCTTCTCGCCCGAGTACGCGTGGACGCTCGGAAATGCGGCAGGGATGGCCCGCGCCGCAAGGCACATCCTGACCAGATCCCAGAGCCCATACCATCCGAGGACTTGCTGACTCGCCTGTACCCCGTCCTAGACCTCCATCATCGTTGCAGTGTGGATCCAGAGCTGGGCGACGTAGGTACTGCCTTCGGTTTGGTACCACTGCCTATGGACATGCATCCTGGGACAAACTGCGCGGCGGTTGCGGTTCACCTGTAACTCGAGAATTCATGAGCAAAATGTCCTCTCGGGGCCGACGTCGGACGACAGGTGCACCGTGAAGTGAGCGTAGGAAGCGCGGCCATGTGTTCCATCGCAGAAGACGCCGAAGATGTTGTCCGCGCCCGAAGGTCCATGCTTCAGCTTGAACAGGCCTTCCCTTGCTCCAGATAGAAGCAAGAAGCAAATGCTGCCAAGTTGGCGCCGTGGTAAGCGGTCTGGGCGTCGGCCTCTGATTTGCTGGGCTTCGTATGTTGCTGCATCTCCCTGGCGCATGCCAATGACACATCCATGACCCACCGCTGTCCAGTTGCGTACGCAATTTGACCCTGCACAAGAGGGACCTCGATGAGTCCAGAGGTGCCAGCGAGAAAAGTGAGTGAGATCCTCTGGCCACTTGAGTGTCCCAGAGGGAACCTCCAGAACGAAGGCGTCCAAAACAATCATAGTGACAGAGAGTGTCGAGCAGGTGGCCCCCGGGGAGGGAGAGCACTCCTTCCTAGAAGAAGCTTGCTTTCCCCTTCGATACCACGGCTTGCTCCAAGAGGGCCCTGAAACAGCCCAAGATCGACACAAGCTGCCCTCAAGAGGGCTTCAGAATCCCTTGGGGCCACGAAGCGTGTGAGGGGTGCGCTGACTCGGGTGCGGGCACGCCATGCGGACCCTGCCGCTGGGGCCTTCGATGGAGCCCCCGTATGGGGCCACGAAACGCGTGAAGGATGTGCCAATCGGGTACAGGTGCGCAATACGGACCCTGCCGCTGGGTCCTTCGGTGGAGCTCCCTAAAGGACCACGAAACGTATGAAGGGTGCGCGATGATGGTGATGAGGACATGCGGAGAACAGAGGCAGGCATGGGAGGAGGGAGGAGGGAGGATAGGAGAGGATAGGAGAGGAGAGCCTGAGAGTGAGGACAGGAAGAGGAGAGGAGTAGGAGAAGGAGGAGGGGACGCGGGCGCTGCTGATTCAAAACGAGGGGCCAGAATGACAGGATGATGTGGAACAAATCAACATACATTCGCAATCAAAAACGCAGTGGATTCCATTAGATGGCTAGCTGTACACATCACCAAAGGCACAACAAGCGCATAAAAGAGCGTCGTGGACCCAAGAAACTACTAAGGGCGACGGAAAGTCCTGCGAGCATTGTGTGCACTTCTGGAGAAAGCGAGAAACAGCGACGCTCGGTTTTGGGGGGTTTCTAATGGAATCCCCATTCAAGGGATGCTCATCGAACCACATGCGTGATGGAACCGATCGAAAGAACAAAATCCGTGGAGGAAAGAAGCCGCCCCTGGATCAGAATACGGAATAGAGCCCATCGGCCAATCGCAAACATCGACTCGATCGAGTCGTCGAAAGCCGTACCCTTCCCGAAATTGCTTCCTGAGCCACGACTAACCTTGCCCACAGAAAGCAAGTCGGGGCATCAGTACCGCAGTCACGAAGCTCTCGTAGAGCTCCGGCGTCTGGTAGGGTTCCCAACCTCCGTAAAACATCCGAAAACCTGATCCTCCACCTCTTCCTGCTGCCCCACCCAGGCAGTAGCAGCGGGGCCTCGTTATCCAGGAAGATGGCGCGGATCTGCATGCCGTGTTTTTTGTTGCTTCACCTCCCCATCCACTCCCTTACCTCCCCCTCCCTTCCACGTCAAGTCCTCTCTGCTCTCCCCTCCCCCCCGAACCCCTCCTCACTTCCCCCGTGCACCCTCTTGATCTCCAATGCAACCCCCATCTGTGACTCCTCTTCACTCCTCCCGCCTTCCCCCCAAAAAACTCCCCTCCACCCATGCCCACTTCCTCTTCCCCTTCCTCGCCACCCACTCATCCCTCATCATCCCCCTCCTGAGAGATTGGCGGTAAACGTAGCCACGTGTACCACCCAGCCACGTCTGTCGACTACTTGGGGTGGGTAGCCATCGTACTCGCACGCCAGCTTAATCATTTGGGCCTTCCCAAGACGCCGTACACTTCCATGGGCACATCGCCCACGCCATTCGAGACCATGCGTGGCACTCGTGATGTGTCGCATGTGTGTCGGGCGCCTGGGTGGCACTTGCCCTGGACCCTGGGGCAGCGCGAACTGCCCGTTGCCGTGGTGGGTTTGCAGAGGAGGTGTCAATTGGCCAACTCTTGAAAAAATTCGCCGACCGGTTGGGCTTCTCTCGACGTGTGCGACTTTTGCCTATCCCGAGAATCTCCTCCCCGGGAAGCTCGGTCTGGCCAATCTGGAGGGGGGTCTCGTCACCGGCTCTGAGGGGCCCATCGGCCCCCCAAATGCCCTCAGATTCACCAGAGTGGCCCCAGGTTGCTCCAGGACGGCCCCCGAGACTGCCCAGAGCCTCAAGACGGCACACGATGCCCCCCAAACAGCCCACGAGGGCTTCAAAAAGGCCCGAGAGCCATATACTATTGATTCCCAATGGTTGTTGCAAAATGGTCACGCTCCCGACTTTCGGGCTTCCGACCGCCCAAGACGGCCTAAGAGGCCCCCCTAGAAGAACCCAAGACGGCCTAACGACCCTGGCCCAAGAGACTCCCACGAGGGCCTTGGGAGGAGCCCAAGAGGGGGAGCCCCTGGAGCCCTCCCCCACAAGATGGCCCCCAAGACCCTGAATAAAGCCCCCATAGGCCCCTCAGGCCTCAACGTGACCCATCAGGGCCCCTTTTGAGCATGGGCTTGGGTTTCCCACATGGGCACATGGGGCGAAAACGCTCCTACGAAAACGCCCCCCCGGAATAGGAGCACCCAAGGTTCCCAAAAGGGTCAGCCGTGCGTCGCAACCCAATGAATACACGTCGGGAGGTGACGTGCTGAGCGGCAGCTTTTTCCGAAAAGGCTAACCCATTATGATATGTTAGCCAGCGTGGACACCAACACATATGATTTGTAATATACGTGGTGCAATAGACGTGGAGCTAAATAATACTTGCACAACGCGTGCAAACTACGTACGCCGTGCAATAGATGTGGTGCAGCTTATGTTGTGGAACGAATATCGTGCGATCGATGCTGCGCAATCTATGATGTGCAATTTCGTGGTGCAATATACTGGGCGCCGGCGGTAAACCGTCAACCTTGGTTACCGCCGGGAAACTCGTAGAGCTTCCTCGCTCATCTGCAGCTCGAGTTAAATCATGAAAACCATACCATCTCCAAAGAATTAGCAGAGCACGAACAGTTTGTCAGCCCGAGCGCTGATAGCAGACTGATTTCAGGCGTCTAGATACTTTTACTAGCGCCCCTGATAATTCCCTTGCGATTGCTGTGCTGAACAGCCCTGTAGCTCATCTGCAGCGCGAGTTAAGTGAAGAAAACCAATACCATCTCCAAGAACTTAGCAGAGTACAAATCGTTTTTTTTTTCAGCCCGAGCGCTAATAGTAGACTGATTTCATGCGTCGAGGTACTTTTAAATGGCGCGTCTTTGATGTGCCTAAGAGCTCTGGAGCGCATCTGCAGCTCGAGATAAGTCGAGAAAACCAATTCCATCTCCCAAAAACAGCGAGTATAAATAGTGTTTGGGCGTCTGCGCTGATAGGAGACCGAGACCAGGTGTCTAGTAGCGCGCCTGATGAGTGCCTCATGATTCTTCTGCTGAACAGCTCTGAAGCTCATCTGCAGGTCGAGTTAAGTCAAGAAAATCATAACTAAATCGAAGAGAATAGCAGAATACATATACTTTTCACTCCCAGCGCTGATAGCAAACTGATTTCAGGCGTCTAGATACTTAGAACTATCGCGCCTGATGATGCCCTTCCGATCGCTGAGCCGAACAGCGCTGTAGCTCATCTGCAGCTCGAGTTCAGTCAAGAAAACCATGACCATCTCCCAAAACATTGAAGGGTACGAATAATTGTTCGGCTCCAGTGCTGATAGCAGACCGAGTTCGGGCGTCTACATACTCTAGACTAGCGCGCCTGATCATTGCCTTCCCATTGCTGTGCCGAAGAGCCCTCAAGCCCATCTGAGGCTCGAGTTAAGCCAAGAAGCTCATCATCATCCCTCGAAAAAGTAGTAGAGTACGAATAGCTTCGCGGACCTAGCTCGAGTAGCAGACCGAGTTCGGACCTCTAGATGCTTCGGACGAACGCGCCTGATGATTCTGGATCGATTACGTGTGCGTAGCAGCTTTGTAGCTCTTCTACAGCTCGAGTTAAGCACAGAAAGCCGACAACGCCTGTGAAGATGACTCGAAACAGCCAATCCCGCCGGGGTGCTTTTTGGCAGTAGTAGGTACCCGATTGAGCTGAGATTAAGACGTAGAGCGGGAATAAGATCTAATATCACGGGAAAAATACTAGGGTTCTAACGAATGGTTGAATTTCGAGAACATAATTTTCAACCGAGCAAAAGTCACCAAAAGGTCCGTCGAGATTTTTCTTGCCAACTAGCCCTCCAGCGCCCCGGAATTATTCTTCTAGCTTCGCCGCTAACGCTCTAAGGGAAGCTCTACGAGTTATGTTGCGCGGTCCATGGTGTGCTCTATACGTGGTGCAGGATACGTGAATCAATATAGGTGGTGCGACTCATGTGGTGTAGTCGATGCTGCACAATATATGTGGTGCAATGTGCACTAAATCCGGTGCAATTGGTACGGCACTATACATGTAGTGAAATCTATGTTGTGCGATTTATGTGGTGCGATCCATGTTGTGCACTCTATGCGGTGCAAGCTATGTAGTGCAAAAAAACATGAGTAATCAATGACGCGCAATATATATATATATTATATATATATATATATATATATATATATATATATATATATATATATATATATATATATATACACTAGAACCACACCACGCGCGCGCTTCGCGCGCGCTTAGGTTCTGTCGAGTCACAGACCCAGGAATCGTTGTGAGAAGAAATTGGTGACGCGAAGCGTCGTGGGGGCGTCCTTGGACGTCTGGGGTCTCCTGGGGCCTCTTGAGGGGCCTCCTGGGGGCCTCCTGGCGGCCTCTTGGGGCGGAAGGCTCGAGCTTGCGGTTCGTGGTCCCCCTCTGGGCCCCCTCTTGGGCCCGTCTTGGGGCCCTCTTGGGCCATCTTGGGCGCCTCTTGGGCCGTCTTGGGGCCCTCTTGGGCTGTCCTGGGGCCCTCTTGGAAGCTTCTTGGGCCGTCTTGGGGCGGTCTTGGGCGCCTCTTGGGCCGTCCTGTAACGTCGGAAAGCCCAAAAGACAACTTTGTTGAACATGTACGTTTTACGAAGGGAATGGGCCAACTTTTGCGTCTGGGGGCCCTCTTGGGACGCATGTTGGAGGCTTCTTGGGGCCTCTTGGGGGCGTCCTTGGACGTCTGGGGTCTCCTGGGGCCTCTTGAGGGGCCTCCTGGGGGCCTCCTGGCGGCCTCTTGGGGCGGAAGGCTCGAGCTTGCGGTTCGTGGTCCCCCTCTGGGCCCCCTCTTGGGCCCGTCTTGGGGCCCTCTTGGGCCATCTTGGGCGCCTCTTGGGCCGTCTTGGGGCCCTCTTGGGCTGTCCTGGGGCCCTCTTGGAAGCTTCTTGGGCCGTCTTGGGGCGGTCTTGGGCGCCTCTTGGGCCGTCCTGTAACGTCGGAAAGCCCAAAAGACAACTTTGTTGAACATGTACGTTTTACGAAGGGAATGGGCCAACTTTTGCGTCTAGGGGCCCTCTTGGGACGCATGTTGGAGGCTTCTTGGGGCCTCTTGGGGGCGTCCTTGGACGTCTGGGGTCTCCTGGGGCCTCTTGAGGGGCCTCCTGGGGGCCTCCTGGCGGCCTCTTGGGGCGGAAGGCTCGAGCTTGCGGTTCGTGGTCCCCCTCTGGGCCCCCTCTTGGGCCCGTCTTGGGGCCCTCTTGGGCCATCTTGGGCGCCTCTTGGGCCGTCTTGGGGCCCTCTTGGGCTGTCCTGGGGCCCTCTTGGAAGCTTCTTGGGCCGTCTTGGGGCGGTCTTGGGCGCCTCTTGGGCCGTCCTGTAACGTCGGAAAGCCCAAAAGGCAACTTTGTTGAAAATGTACGTTTTACGAAGGGAATGGGCCAATTTTGCGTCTAGGGGCCCTCTTGGGACGCATGTTGGAGGCTTCTTGGGGCGTCTTGGGGGCGTCCTTGGACGTCTGGGGTCTCCTGGGGCCTCTTGAGGGGCCTCCTGGGGGCCTCCTGGCGGCCTCTTGGGGCGGAAGGCTCGAGCTTGCGGTTCGTGGTCCCCCTCTGGGCCCCCTCTTGGGCCCGTCTTGGGGCCCTCTTGGGCCATCTTGGGCGCCTCTTGGGCCGTCTTGGGGCCCTCTTGGGCTGTCCTGGGGGCTTCTTGGGCCGTCTTGGGGCGGTCTTGGGCGCCTCGTGGGCCGTCCTGTAACGTCGGAAAGCCCAAAAAGCAACTTTGTTGAAAAATGTACGTTTTACGAAGGGAATGGGCCAATTTTTGCGTCTAGGGGCCCTCTTGGGACGCATGTTGGAGGCTTCTTGGGGCCTCTTGGGGGCGTCCTTGGACGTCTGGAGGCCATCTTCAGCATCTCGGAGCCCTCTTGGAGGCCTCTTGGAAGTTTCTTGGGCCGTCTTGGGCGCTCCTGGGGCCGTCTTGTCTGACCGGGGAGGCCTCCGGCAAGCCCCGACGAGCCTCCGGGCCCCCCGGG